GATGTCCATTAGACGGATAGGAACAATTACTAAGAATATATAGGGAATGTCCATTAGCCGGAGAGGAACAATTACTAAGAATATATAGGGAATGTCCATTAGACGGATAGGAACAATTACTAAGAATATATAGGGGATGTCCATTAGGCGGATAGAAACAATAACTAAGGATATATAGGGGATGTCCATTAGGCGGATAGGAACAATAAATAAAGATATATAGGGGATGTCCGTTAGAGGGATAGGAACAATAACTAAGAATATATAGGGGATGTCCATTAGGCGGATAGGAACAATTACTAAGGATATATAGGGGATGTCCATTAGACGGATAGGAACAATTACTAAGGATATATAGGGGATGTCCATTAGGCGGATAGGAACAATTACTAAGAATATATAGGGAATGTCCATTAGGCGGATAGGAACAATTACTAAGAATATATAGGGGATGTCCATTAGGCGGATAGGAACAATTACTAAGAATATATAGGGGATGTCCATTAGACGGATAGGAACAATAACTAAGGATATATAGGGGATGTCCATTAGGCGGATAGGAACAATAACTGAGGATATATAGGGGATGTCCATTAAGCGGATAGGAACAATAACTAAGAATATTTAGGGGATGTCGATTAGACGGATAGGAAGAATAATTAAGGATATACAGCAGATTTCCATTAGGCGGATAGGAACAATTACTAAGGATATATAGGAGATGTCAAATAGACAGATAGGAACAATAACTAAGGATATATAGGAGATGTCCATTGGGTGGATAGGAACAATAACTGAGGATATATTTAGGATGTCCATTAGGCGGAGAGTAACAATAACTAAGGATATATAGGGGATGTCCATTTGGCGGAAAGGAACAATAACTAAGGATATTTAGGGGATGTCCATTAGGCGGATAGGAACAATTACTAAGAATATATAGGGGATGTCCATTAGAAGGATAGGAACAATTACTAAGAATATATAGGGAATGTCCATTAGCCGGAGAGGAACAATTACTAAGAATATATAGGGAATGTCCATTAGACGGATAGGAACAATTACTAAGGAGATATAGGGGATGTCCATTAGTCGGATAGGAACAATAACTAAGGATATATAGGGGATGTCCATTAGACGGATAGGAACAATAACTAAGGATATATAGGGGATGTCCATTAGACGGATGTCCATTAGGCGGATAGGAACAATTACTTAGGATATATAGGGGATGTCCATTAGACGGATAGGAACAATTACTTAGGATATATAGGGGATGTCCAATAGGCGGATAGGAACAATTACTAAGAATATATAGGGGATGTCCATTAGACGGATAGGAACAATTACTAAGAATATATAGGGAATGTCCATTAGACGGATAGGAACAATTACTAAGAATATATAGGGGATGTCCATTAGACGGATAGGAACAATTACTAAGAATATATAGGGGATGTCCATTAGACGGATAGGAACAATTACTAAGGATATATAGGGGATGTCCATTAGGCGGATAGGAACAATTACTAAGGATATATAGGGGATGTCCATTAGGCGGATAGGAAGAACTACTAAGGATATTGAGGGGATATCCATTAGACGGATAAAAACAATAATTAAAGATATATAGGGGATGTCCATTAGGCGGATAGAGACAATAACTTAAGATATATACGGGATGTCCATTAGGCGGATAGGAACAATTACTAAGGATATATAGGGGATGTCCATTAGACGGATAGGAACAATAACTAAGAATATATAGGGGATGTCCATTAGGCGGATAGGAACAATTACTAAGGATATATAGGGGATGTCCATTAGACGGATAGGAACAATTACTAAGGATATATAGGGGATGTCCATTAGGCGGATAGGAACAATTACTAAGAATATATAGGGGATGTCCATTAGGCGGATAGGAACAATAACTAAGAATATATAGGGGATGTCAATTAGACGAATAGAAACAATAACTAAAGATATATAGGGGATGTCCATTACACGGATAGGAACAGTAACTAAGTATATATAGGGGATGTCAATTAGATGGATAGCAACAATACCTAAGGATATATAGAGGATGTCCATTAGGCGGATAGGAACAATACCTAAGAATATATAGGAGATGTCCATTAGGCGGATAGGAACAATTACTAAGGATATATAGGGGATGTCCATTAGGCGGATAGAAACAATAACTAAGGATATATAGGGGATGTCCATTAGACGGATAGGAACAATAAATAAAGATATATAGGGTATGTCTGTTAGACGGATAGAAACAATAAATAAAGATATATAGGGGATGTCCATTAGGCGGATAGGAACAGTTACTAAGGATATATAGGACATCCCCTATATATCCTTAGTAATTGTTCTTATCCGTCGAATGGACATCCCCTATATATTTTTTAGTAATTGTTCCTATCCGCCTAATGGACATCCCCTATATATCCTTAGTTATTGTTTCTATCCGTCTAGTGGACATTCCCTATATATTCTTAGTAATTGTTCCTATCCGTCTAATGGACATCTCCTATATATAGAAGTGAAATAATAGCTCCGGTAATTTTTGTTGTTGTTACGTTGGTTACAAAGTTGAGCACATCACCTACATTTAAACTGATTCCTCTCACATCCGAAACGTGATTAAATTCTCCTTGTGGCTTTAAAATTTTACATTGAGTTTTACTACCATTAACCACGAGGACTACACCGGCCTCTTCGGGAGTGGATTCTGGTGTTGTAACCGACATACCTATTTTCAAAACTTTAGATGGTGCTAGCACGGTATAGCCAGCGTTTTCACCTGTTGCACCATCACCGAACGAGTATTCGTACTTCCCTTTCACCAGTCCACCTTTTTCTTCAGCCCAGATAGTTATATATTTTTTATTCATTTTTCTTTGTAATTTTTGTGTATTCATTAATAGCTGAGAATACTTGACTCTTAGATCCTGGATATCCATCTCTAATTTAGTCACATCAGCTTTTCTTTGGAAATTCTTATTGACGTACGACAGAGACACACCGGGTTCTGGTGGTGGGATGTTATACTATGACGTCATATATCCAAATTTGTGAATAGGCATGTTTTTTTAATATATATATTTTTTATAAATCAATACAATCCGTTTATGATCTCTTGAAGCTCTCTCCCCGCGCTCATCTCTTTTAGAACGTATAAACACAAATGACCACAAAATACCTGATCGGCTGGCTGAACCTGCTCTGTATTGTACAAGATCCCTCGCTTCAAATAGGATATCAACTCATTCGGAGGTTGTATGCCATAGCTATCGAAATAGTATTTATTTTTTCCTTGTTTGTAACAGGCGGTCCAGTGCGTTCCTCCTCCGTCACTAGAATCTAAATTCAGAATCCCACATTCATTTCTCTTTGGTCTCTTCGGAAGTGTATCGCGCAGAAATACTCCTCTAAAGTTTGGTATTTTCAATTCATCTGCAGCCCTCGTTAACTCGATATTACTTAGCGGTTTATATGGCAGAACGACTTTTCCCACTGAAATGTTCATTTTTATATATATCTATCAAAGTTTAAAGTGTCCGTGGGCTAGTGTGCGCATCCCATCCTGGAGGATAATTCGCTTGTCGTCATTTGCCGAAAGAGCTGTTTTGTTAATTTCTTCGGTGTACACATCATGACAGTGGCTCCTGATGACGTTCATCTTTCTCAACTGATCCTCACCCGTAAAGAAACATTTCTTGTAATCCTCAAACGAAATACTCTTTTTGACAACGGACCTTTTCACCCCCTTACACTTCTTCTCCTCATATCCCTCAAGCAACTTGTAACTGTACAACTTAGCTCTCGACCCCACGAATTCTCGGATGATCTTACCTCCTGCGTCGTCCTTGAACATCCCCACCACTTTCTTGTTACGACCGACTTCGATGCCCGATGGGTGATCCTTTGGGAAGTTGCTGGTGTCAAACTTGGCTGCCACGTCACCAGAGATGTCCTTGTAAAAGTCTTCCGTCTGGATTTCGTATGCCAAGGAATCGGTATCGGTAAACAGGAGTTTTGCCTTTTCTCCGTACTTTGTCTTCATGTAGTTGTAATGGAAGTCGTACATCAACGTCTTGCTCAGATCGAGGATGCACATCCCGAGATAAACGGGCTTGTTGAACTTCAGTTTCGTCTTTTTCGTATGTACGGCAACCAGGTTCTCGTCGAAGGTGGTGCAATGTTTAAAATTGGGTTTTGCTGCCAACTTCTTCGCTTTTGTCTCGTCGTTGACTAGTCGGATATCCACTCGGCTCCTAATGTTCTCCATAGTCTTTCCGAGCTTGTTCATGAGCTTGAAAAAGTCATTTTCAAACTCATTGTTTGCCTCTGCTCGGAGATTGGTGTTCAGGTCGATGTATTGCTTCAACCATGCACTTTCCTCGAACCTGATGCCCCTGTGGATCTTTGTAATCTTCATTCCCAAGCCCTCGTATAGTTTGAGGTTCTCGTAGTGAATGACATAGTTAGTTTTGTCATTGAGATTGGGAATAAGCTTTTCCACATTATGGACTTTGAGACTTTCTGGAGCGAGCGGATAGTCATTGTGGATATCATGCAGATCCTTTGTATATTCAAGGTCAACCTCCAGTATACAGCTGTGGTTCTTCCAAGAGTCCAGTTCACTGTCTGTCATCCACCCGAATCCGTGTGTAGGGAGCGGTTTGCTCATGGCCCAACCATAGAGATTGTTGGCATCCAAATAGGCAATATACTTCGCAGGATCATGGGGGTTGAATGTTTCACCCATGTATGGGTTGTTTGCTTTGCCATATCTGTTGCTGATCATCGATATCCCGCCTCTGATACCTTTCTCCACCATGAGCAACATGTCTGGATCTGATAACAGCTCCAACTTCACTTCGGTGATTTTCAAGGCAGCGTCCCATGCTAGTCCAATAATACCAGCAGACGTCCAACTTCACTTGCCAAGAGCAACACGTCCGACTGGTGCAGTTCATGCTCATTCAGTCATCGTCACTAATCTCTTCTCCACTGAGTCTGGAGTAGAACGCAACTTTTCGTGGAAGGGCTGTTTCATCTAGTCTTTTGAGTGAATCCATATATTCATATGGGTAGACACCCTTTCTCATTAGTAAGTCTAGTTGTTTTCCGTTATAGTACTTCGAAGTGTTGGTGAAGCAGTCCTGATCCAGATTACCGGACAGCTTATCCAGGCTAGCGGCCATGAACTTGAAGCTGTCGATGAATCTGAGTTGGTGCTTAACATCCTTCTCTTTCCCGTCCTTGCCAGTATAAGAACCGACAACAACCTCCTTGGTGAAGCTGATGTACTTTTCCTCGTTGTTCGGGATGCAGTTGATGTTCCCCTCAGTTTTACCGAGGTTCTTGACGAACAGATGACTGTCATAGCCGCTCAGATTGTGGAACACCACGGGAGTGAACTTCTGCTTCTTGTACTGCAAGTTACAACTATTGTGAGCTGCACCTCGGTATTTCCCAGTAAAGTGACAGTGATCTCTCACCTTCTTGTCATCCTTACTGAACTCACCTTGGTAGATCCAGCACTTTGTCGCCTTTTGGAATTGTTTGCGGTCATTTTCCCCAAAAATCATTGGTTTCGCCGGAATTTTGCCAATTTCTTTGATGTCTTTCTCCAACATTTCTACGAATATTTGGGACAAAGGTAACCGGATCTTTAGAGAAGACACCATCATCAAAGCATTTGATGTAGTGCTGTTGTGTTTCTGGTATTTCTTCGTGTAGCTCTTTCCCGGACACGGTTCACACGTATCTACGGGTTTGATGAAAGATTCAAAGTCAGTATACACTGTGAACGGCACTCTCATGGACTTGTGTATGTGCCCAAACGAAATGGTCGAGCCCTCTTCTGGCATCTCTATCTTGACGGCCTCGTTTGAATAACAGTATTCCATGTGCTCATTCAACGATTCCTGTGAGTAGAAGGGGTTCAAACATCTGAGACAGTAATAATTTTTGTGTTGGTGGTTTCCGGTTTGGCTGGACAACAAACGGCTCATGTCTTTGATGACGCAGTAATGCTGCTTTTCCCCATCAGAGATCAATAAAAGGTTTATTGTTACCCTATCAACGTGTTTGCTTATTCGGAGGGGGTAAACACTAGTTTCATAGCCAAAGACATTAATAGATATGTCTGGGTTTTGCTTCTCGACATGATCTATTGTCTTAAGACTAACTGGGTAATCAATACCATCCATGTTGAGTTTTTCTGCTTGCATTCTGAGCATCTTAGTTATGCGGCAAGCATCACGTTCTACGGGATGTAATGCTCGAGCCAGTGCTCAGAGGAAGCATCTGTTGTCATCATTTTTGACATTGATCACTCCCTTCTTAGGATGTGCAAGGGCCTCCGGAGTAGGGATGTAAGAGCTCCCCCTCAACGGTTCATAAGCAACTGTATGAATTTCAATGGCAATGATAGATTTAAATGTCCAGTTGCTGCCTCGTAACTGGAATGTCGCCATGGCCTCCATGACTCTATCTACCACTGCATCATACAGCTCATCTGCATCTGTTCCCTCGAGGTTAATCTCGACATTAGAGTGAAAGGCTGCAGGCTCTACGATTGTTTCCGAGGCACTAACAAGGTTCACTTTTTCCATGTTACATCTAAGAATTAGCTTTACCTTAGTGCCTCGGATTCCTCTCAAGAGGTTAACTACATTTTGTCGGGCTGTGTTGAGAAACGATTGAGCATCAAACCCCTCTCTGCCATCTATGGTATATTGAGTCGTAAATTTCCTCAGAGCAGATCTTGTCTCTCTGATTTCAAACATCTGCTGCTTTCTGAATAAAGCATCTACTTTTTCCTTCAAGGCTTTTAATTTCGATGGGGCCTTCTTAACAACTTCTCTGTCTGCATCATGCAGCCATTCAACCCAATCTACAGCAGCTTTGATCGATTTATTTACTTTTTGTTTAACCTTGTCCCTGGTTGTAGGGATAAGGACAGGTTGAAGAGTCGGCACATTGATGCTAGGTACATCTGCATCTAAGAAATTTTGATCTGGAGGATTCCTCTGTGGGATGAAAGCCGATGCCAGTCGTCTTGCTCCTCTAGCAATGTTTGTTGCAGCATTCATAGCCGCATTACTAATTCTTCTGAAAAGACTCATTGTTTTTATTATATATAGATTTTTTTTTCTATAAGTCATTTTCAAAAAAAAAATTATTTTTTCATGAATGTTGTATATGTTAACCCACATGCAACATCTTTTTTGCTTACATCTTGCTAATTCCTATGGGGTCACCCACTTTAATCTCATACTTGTTTTTCCACACCCTTCCATCCCAAAAGGTTATTATCCTCGAGGATTTGTCTATGAATTGAGATGCCTTATAAATGGATGGAAATGTAATCTCCTCTCCAGTATTAACATCCCTCAACACAACAGGTTTGGGGTTATTTCTAACTGCCATTGGATCTACCTCTTTCTTTGTCTTCACTGGTTTGGGTGGTTCCTCTGGTATTAATTCCTTTCCTTTCAACAGCTCGATCAGCCGCTTCTTGCCGCAATGAGAATAACCTTTGATTTTATTCTCACGAAGAATTGTTTTCAATTTAGACAGTTTCAACATTGTTTTTTTATTATAGATTTTTATTTTCTTAAAGTCATTTTCAAGAAATGTAGAAATCTAGCTATATACAACGTTTACCTTCTTCCCATCGGTCTTGAAGTTTATCATCTTGTCACTAATCACAACAGCAAATGCTTCGGTACCCGCTGGCACGTTGGCATTAAACTGCATTTTTATGTGGATGTCAGTGACTGCGGTCTTCAGTCGCTCACTCTGCTTGCTGACGTCGAGCACAAACAGTGGGAAAAGAGTCTTGTAATCGGCGGGGGTGATGTTGGGGTTTGACACCAACTCGTACATGTTGTAAAACTTGGACCTGAAGGCTGCTGCATCACCGTACGCCCGACTGAATTGCTGTTTGGGAAAGGAGAGGTTGTAGTCAACTGCGGGGTATCTAGCCGAGTTTAGCATGACAAATATATTCCTCACATTGACGTTGTCAAAGATGGAAGGATTCTGCTCTTGGTCACCGTCTTTGTCAGTTTGGAAACCGACAATGATATGGCGCGGTCTTTCAGGCGCTGATTTGACAGATAGTCTCCAGGTGAAGCTAGTTGACTGTGGTACGGAGGTGGAATCACATTCCCTGATCCTGTACATTACGGGTAGAAGCGCATTTGAATCGAGTGTCTTGTAAAGCTGAAATTTGTCAGCATCTGCGGGTAGTACATGAGGCATAAACCACGACACCTTTTCGAGGGTAATTTTCCCATCATCAACATTTGCATTCCTGAAGATCGCATCGTTGTCCGTTTTCCGCACCAGAGTCAGGGTTTGTTTCATACCATACACAATTTTGTCATAGTCTTCGCAAAATCCAAAGATGTGCTTGAGTGGTACTCTGAAACTAAATGTGCCCTTTGGATCAGGAGATTTGATTATATAGGATTGGCGAACGCTAAATCCGGCATTGCCTGCTGCTGCAGCTGCAGATGCTGCAGCTGATGTGTCCTTGTACCACAATTGATTCAAACCCTGCGACTTGGAGAAGTCATCTGGATATTTCAACAGACCAAGCATCGTTGTACCCTGTCCTGGATGAAAGAGAGATTCAATCTCCTGTCCTGAAAGCTGGTACTTGATGTTGCTGAAAAGATACATGAGAGCATTATTCGTCAGTGTAACGTTATCATCGTTTGCGTAAGCGGTCCCGTCAGTTTTTGTCAGACGCCCTTCGATGATCAGATAGCTCTCGCTTGGGTGAGTAAACAGATCTTGTGCTTCAATATTGATCCTGAGCTCACCTGGGTTATTGAGATTCGTATCGGTAATCGGATCATACTCATGGTGTTCGTATTCTTCGATGCTCTCATCCTTCATGGGAGCCTCAGTAAAATTTAGAATGTTCATCATATTTTATTTTTTTATTAGCAAGAG